CTGGAACAGGGTCACTGCCACCCCTCTGCTGGGGAACAGGGTCACTGCCACCCCCTGGAACAGGGTCACTGCCACCCCTCTGGAACAGAGTCACTGCCACCCCTCTGGAACAGAGTCACTGCCACCCCCCTGGAACAGGGTCACTGCCACCCCCCTGTCCCTGCCTTTGCTCAGCCTGGAAGGGAAACCTGGGATCATGTCAGTCAGAGGTGATGGCAGAGGGGGGATTGATCACAAAACCTCTGGGGTAATGCCACAGTGGGTATTGATTGATCACAAAGCCTCTGGGGTAATGTCAGAATGGGTATTGATTGATCAGAAAGCCTCCAGAGATAATGTAACAGTAGGTACTGATTGATCAGAAAGCATCCAGGGGTAATGTCACAGTGGGGATTGATTGATCAGAAAGCCTCCAGGGGTAATGTCACAGTGGGTATTGATTGATCACAAATCCTCCAGGGGTAATGCCACAGTGGGCATTGATTGATGTGCTTTTTGGGAGGGGTTATACTTATTCCAACATTCTAATTGCATTTTTCTTTTTGAAGCAATGGGTCCATTATCCCTGGGAGCCCTCAGGAAATGTCTGCAGTAGCCCCAGGAAGGCAAAGGCAGGGGAAGTCCTGCACTTACCTGCCTGCCTCGAAGGTGAACCAGGCTGGGTCCCGCCCGTAGCGCCGCAGGGCACTGAGTGGCCACGAGACCAGTTTGACTCTGGGATTCTGGATGTCCCAAAGACAGATATTCTCAAATGTTATCTGCAAGGTACATTCCCCATGCACATCTAAATTAGGGGATGGCATCAAATACACATTGAATCTCTCTGGGAGAAAAACAAAAGGTTAGTCTAAAATCCCTGCCCAGCAAGTCATTCAAGGAATTTCCTATTTTCCATCTCTATTTCCACTTAGAACTGTTCATTCCCACACAAAGAATTCCCGCCTGTGACTCTGTGAACTCCACAAATGCTGCACCCAAAGGGCATCAAATATTTGTGTGTGCACACAGAGCCTGAGGAGAAGTGCACCAGCATAACCCTGGTATTTGCAAACAGCTCATAAATGTTGTGTGCAATTTGTGAATAAATCCATTGCTCGTGCAGGTAATGAGCTCGTTTGCACAGGGAAGTGGAGTAGCTACAGGCCCAGGTTTTGCATGCAATTACTGTTATTTATTATTCTCTTTACAAAGCCTCAGTCATTGACATCACACCAAAAAAAAAAAAAAAACCACAAAACAAATAGTTCCCATTTCCAGGAGCAGCTAGCTCATCTGAGAAAGGGAAGTGCTACTCCAAGATATTTCTAGATAACTTATTTCTCTGGTAGCAATTAAAAGCCAAAAATAAACCTTCAAACAACCAAAACCACCCCCACCAAAACAACAAGGAGGGCTTGGAAAAAGAGTTTTGCTCCTCTTTACTTCCAATATCCGCATGGCTTGAAAATAATGCAATTAAAAATCCCAAACATAAAAATTTCTGTACCTACCACTCTGCTCCCTCTCTACTCCAGATGACAACAAGTCAGGCTCTCCAAGGCTAATGTCATTAATTCGTGTTCCCAGGCACTCCATCTGCAGCACCTTGCACCACTCATCTGCCTCAAGTTCTGCAGAAATGCCCAGAAAATCTCTGTGTAGGCAGATCGTGTTTATAATTTCACACTCAGTGCTCTGAGGTTTTCTAAGGAGCGTGGCCATGTCACCCACCTGAGTCACAAGCAAAAGTTTTGGAGGTGTCATCACTGAAATAAATGCCCACTGCGTGTTTCTTTGTGCTTTTTGGCAGCCTCGAGATATTCTTCACGTTGTTGAGCTCCGTGACCTGGAGAAGCACAATTTGGGATTTTAGTGAGAGGCTTGGAAGAGACCTGTCTGTTCTTGGCTGGGCAAGGGGAGGAGAGGAGGGGAAAAAGAGGGGGAAAAAGGTGAGGCAGCATCTGCAGGCTCAGGATCTCTGTGGTGGCTCTTGAGGAGATGCAGCCAGGAATCACCTGGGAAATTCTCCCACCTTCCCTGGGAGATGCAGCAGCCACCTCCTCCAGCTCTCCAAGACATCAGTGTGACACCATCCTGATGGAATTGCAGCCAAGGGAAAGGTGGGACCAAAGCTGCCTCCAGCCTGAGCAGCATTCACACGAAGGGCACGAGAAAAACCAACCTGGTGCAGCAGAACCAGAGAGAGGTGGAGATGGAAACCCAAATTCACCCACGTGGAGTTCCAGCACTCCCAGCTCCAGCACAGAGGAAAAAACAGTGGTGAAAAGCTGCTCCCTACATAATATATTTTTTTTTTGAGGGAAAGTTGAGGATTTGTTGGACTGGTCCACTTCAAAAAAAAAAAAAAAAAAAAAAAAATCACGGTTCTCATTATCACAAAGTCTTTTAGTGGTAAAGATTCAAAAACACAGATTTCTGTTGTTTAGTTGCCAAACAATTATTGGAAAAATAGCTTTTACACACACAAAAATATAAAATTTGGTATTACCTTGTACACAACTTTAGTAAATACATAACACACTGATTTCATTTTTCTAACGAGAACCTTTCACCCTCACAACCCTTGAGTAATGCTCCAAAATTTGGCTGAGGAGCAAGTTTTCTTTACCATTTCTTTAAATTAATCACACTTCCAATCAAGAAAAGCTCTTCCTGCTGTGAATGAGCAGCTCATGGACAGCATCTCCCCAGAATAAAAACAAAAACAAGAGCCAATAGCAGAACCTCGCTCCATGGGCACAGCAGGATGGAGTGCAAGGAGCATCCCGTGGGGAGCACCCAAACCTTCAGCAGAGCTGCCACATTTGGAGCTCAGCTTTTTCCAGCCTCCACCTTGAAGGTTTTGTCAAAGTGTCAAAACTGAGACGTGCTAATTGGGCGTAATTCTGCAGGAGGATTTTGGTTTTCCCCCCTCTTGCAGGAAATGCTCTGATGGGAGCAGATCCCCACGGCTGAACACAAATCTGTCACAAATTCGTGGGGCATGGCAGGCCAAGCACAAACTGCCAGCTGCCACTTCCACTCCAAGACATTTTTCTCAGATTAGAAGGATTAGAATTCAAGGGGGAATAAAATCAGATTTTTCCCCGTTCAGGATAGCAACCAACTTGACATTTTGGCCGAGCACATTTGCATTTCCTGCAAGGGAAATTGCAGATGACTCCAGCATTGTTTATCTCTCACCTATTGCCTCTGCAGTGCTCACAGAGGTTTGTCTGGCTTTCCTGGGAGATTAATTGTCCCCATGATGAGAACAGAGAAACCATTTCCCAGGAAAGCCCAGGGGAATGCTGAATGGAAAATGTTATTTCTCGCTCCTGCCTGCACTTCTCTGACCTGCTGAGTATAAATAAGGGATTAAATTTTATATAAAATCATGGAAAGGTTTGGGTTTGAGGGACCTAAAAGCCCATCCAGGCTGATCTTCTCTTCTCTTCTCTTCTCTTCTCTTCTCTTCTCTTCTCTTCTCTTCTCTTCTCTTCTCTTCTCTTCTCTTCTCTTCTCTTCTCTTCTCTTC